CACTAACGCGTGGTAGACACCGATCCAGCGACGAACAGCAGTCACCTCCTCGCTTAAATGCTGCTCCCCTTAATGAGACCCAGGTGTCTCATCTCCCGAGGGCGTGAACCCACAGTGAGTTCCGCCCCGGCGAGAGAGAAGAGGAAGAGAGGGAGAGAAACAGAGAGGGCTGATCAGCGTGCAGCTGATCCGCCTGGCCGTGACAGCTTCCTGCTTTTATGATCCGTTTGTGGGCAGGAGGTCACACAAACGCACCCCCAAACACACACACACGTGCTTACACGTGCTTACACGTGCACACACATACACACATAGTGCCTTGTCTTTTGTAACAAGGGGAGTTTTAAAATGGGAGGTGCTTGTGTGTACTGTAACTGTTTTCAATAAAAAGGCGGCAAGCGGAGGTCTGAGTCGGGGTCATTTTGCGGTAGGATTCAGAGTGCTTTCTGAGACAGTGACCGGGGCCTCCCTTGTAAATAGATCGAGTAAAATAGATCGATCGCTCTGTGTGTTTGTTTGTTACAGATTTAGATTTTTTTTGTTACATTCTTACCCTACAATGACAACCCCTTTCTGTTGCCCTACTAATATTCTGGTTTCAGAATACTTTAACAATTCTGTTTTGCAGTGTTAGTCAGTAAGTGACTGGCTGCTCCCGTATGGGATTAGAACGATGCCACCTTATCCATAGTCCAGCCAATAATGCCATTCACATTGTATATACGCAGCTAATCAACGTCGCTGACAGGCTATGACAGCATCCTTATGTGCCGACACCGGTGTTTTAGCTAGCAAAGGGGCGTGGCTGATGTGAAGAGAAGCCACGTTAATGACAACGTGGACAACCATTGGAGATGTGAGCAGGACAGACGGAACATTTGGCGGAAAAAGTGTGGACTTTATACCAGTTTTTAAATTGTGTTTATAGGCCACGTAAAACCAGAGTTATGATAAAAAAAAATATGCAATGTTTGGTTTTCTTCCTGAGCACTATTGTTGTTTATATTTACTGCGAAGAAACGGTAAAAACGGCGTTTTATAAAGAAAACGCTGGAAAGCTCTCTCCGCCTGTGAGGAAAAACAAAACCAAAAGAACCCACCCTTTCCTATTGGTGGAAAAATGTACCATGTCAACCAATCAAAAAATGATTTGGCAACATGGCATTTAGTTGTTTAGGGAGGGGGGAAGTTTTAGGAGTGACGGCAGTGTTTTGAGATGTGAGAGATTTGCTACGTTTAGCGCAAATCTTGTGTAGTTAGTGTGTAGTGTAGTCAATAGTTTTGTTGTGTGTGTCAGAACAATGAGGCGACTACTGAATGTTACAGGTGTTACAGCAGTGATACATCTCCTGTTGTCAGGCCTGCAGGTATCAGGCTGTTGTTCTCCTTTATCTCATAGTGAACAGAAATTATTTTTTGGAGTGGCACAAATCATTTCAAATTTGATGCAGAACAGCTGATTGTTCTGTAAATAGTTTGAAACGTTTATTTAAAAAAATGCCTTGGCTGCATTTTTAGGTAAACAGCTGCAAAAAACTTTGTTTGCATAACTAAGTTACTTTTTTGAAGAAGTAACTATATAATTAACTGTCCAGCTTTTGTCATTATATACTATATTCAGACAGAGAGTTACAGGACTCTCTCCCAGACCACAGACTCATAATACAAGTCAGAGCTTTATAAAAAAAAGAAAAAGAAAAAGAAAGTTGTGTTTTCAAAATTGGAGTTCAAGTTATTTTTACTTCCAATAGTGTTAACATACTACACAGGTCATGAACAAGATTTCTTTTACATTTTCATTGTAAGTGTGCTAAAGCAGTTAATTAAAAGTAGTGTAACATAAATGTAAACGCTGTAATTTGATTATTTTAATAAACCATGTAACTTGGATGGATTCGATGCTGGCGTGACCACAGTGCACACGTCTGATGTTGCTCACAGTGCTTCAAGGGTCCGCTCAGGGAGTTTGTGTGTTCGCTCAGACACATGAAAAATTAGAGGGAACATTGCTTGTGTATAATATAAAAGAAGGTTGATTTTATTCATCAGTAAGATACATAACAAATATTTTCTTTCAATGTTAGCAGCCAAGATAGAGACAGTGTTTGTTATTGCCATTATTGTGTCAACACTACTCTGATTCGTATAATCCAATTGCTACTAGGCCAACATCAGTTATCCTAATCAAAAATACATTCACTGTATTAAAACTGTCATATTAACGTTACTAATGTTTTGTTTGTTTTTTTATCTATGTGCAACATGATTTTTAGTCTTATTTCTATCACAATATGTAGAAAGTTGGGTAAAATTCTCAAAGGTCATAAAAGGTAAGAAAAAAGGGAAACACCAAAAACAAAAATTATAGAAATAAAACGTTAATCTGTAGAAGGATAAATCATGGAACATTTTTCATTTTAGGACATCAAATAAAAATGCTTTAAAAATAATTCAACTATTAAATAATAATTAAAAGTGTGATTTTTGGCTAAGTTACACTTTACAGATTCTGAGAAATTTCCCCTGATAGATTTTCTTGGTATTATTTACCTTCCGTACTTTCAGAAACCTTTTACATATTTCAGTACAAATAAGACCCAAACTCAAACTAAATATTTTAAAAACTTCATCCGCTGATTAATATTAATAATGATTAATATTGCCAAATACAAGAGCACATCAACATGTTTGATTATTAAATGTAAATTTTACTTACCAGGTCAAATCTGTTACTTTAATTCCAAATATTTTAAATTAAAGTAATAGTTAAAGCTTTTTCATAGGCCAATAATAACAAATAATGACTTTTATTAATTTTTTATTTGTATCTCACATAAATAAATAAATAATAAATATTTAAATTCTATTGTTGGCAGTAATTGGATACCATTTTAATTCATGAAACACCAGTTTGAAGCGTCTTCACCTGGTTACATGAACGAGTGTCTGAAATATTTTCTTACTACCATTCTTACTGTCTGTTATGATTATTCCTTCTCCTCTCTCATATTAGCACCATCGTTGGTTTCCCATAGCAACTGGCCTGTTGGTCTTCTCAGCACAGTGGTTGTCATGGTGATATGCTGCGCAAGCAACCCCCATCAGCATTGGACCAATAACCACAGATGGACGACATCATTTCCTTTTATAGAGCCAACATGTTGAAGGCCTGGGAGACAGAGATAGCGGGCTGACAGTGAGGACGGCCGATGGGAAACACCGAGGCTGCAGGACGCTGTAAACAACAACAAACAGCAAACACTGAACCAGCCCTGCCCTGTGTGAGCTCAGGCCCCCATCCCACCAGAAGGGGGGATTCATTGGCCAATTTGAGTCACTGACTGATTAAAAGGGACCAGAAGAAGGGGGTTAGGGTGTCAATGAATGAATGGGAAAGGAAAAGTTCGTTTTCATGATGCCTGATCATCTCTCAACATAAGGATCAGTGAATAGGCCTATCTATCTCTACCAGCAACTGTAACAGCCAATATATGAAAATGACAAAAGTAAAGAAGAGGTCAGAGCAACACCTTCCAGTCATGTTATGACAGTTAGTGTTGCATTGTTTGTCCAGCAGAGGGAACTCTGCAACTTACCTGTTGGCAACATTTTTGGAACAAACAGGCAGAACGTGAACAAATTTTAAAAAATTAGTGCTTACTTTTTAAATATCTGTCTTAAAAAATAGGTCAAGCTCTAGTTACTCATTTCAAATGTTTTAGTGATCTTTAAAATGTCTCACTTTCAGGCACTAAAGATGAATCTGTGAGACATGGATAACGATGGGGGTTTGGATTCAAATAAAAGTGTTGCAACTTCTTGGGACAGACATGAAAAATACTGAAATACATCAGCTTGTATCCATGAACATGAACTAATAAATGATACGTATATGATGTTTTTGTAGTGCAACCCAGTTGCAAACTCTGGAGCTGTGATGGACAGGTTGTTAGCCAGCGTCCTTGCTCATCCACACTGCTTTAAACCCCTACAAAACAAAACTTTTGGCTTTATTAGGACAAGAGTGAAAGACCCACCCAAGGTGGCCGAGGGACGTCATACTTTGGATTATTTTATTTATATCATTTTAATCATAAAATTGTTTTTGTTAATGTCTATATTTTTGTCTCTCTTCCTTGAAGCCTGGGTCCTCTAACAGCCGTTCCTAGGACTGCACTCTTCTGGACAGAGATCTCCAGTGTTGTTTATGGGATCTGAGATTATACAGTCCATATCAAAAGTTGTGGACCATTTGAAAAATGGCACAAAAAAAATCGTATTTTGCATGGTTGGATCTTAACAAGGTTCCAAGTAGAGCTTCAACATGCAACAAATGAGAGGAAGACAAGACATATTTATTTGAGCATGCAATTTATTGAAAACAACACTTAAACTGAAATAGGCTGTTTTACAGCTGATCAAAAGTTTAGGACCACGTGCCTTTAAAAGGCCAAATCTGTGCAAAAATATGGATTCATTGTCATTTTCTGTCAGGTGCTCACACTGTCATGACCTTCTGATGGCAAAGGCAAAAAAACTTCCTTTTTTGAACGTTGTTGGGTTGTTGAACTGCATAAGCAGGGTCTCTTGCAGCACACCATCACTGCTGAGGTTGGACGCAGTAAGACAGTCATTTGGAATTTATTAAATGATCCTGTGGGTTATGGAACAAAAACATCAAGTGGAAAACCCCCCAAAAATTTTCAAGCACTGAGCCGGAGGAGCCAATTGGTGACAAGACACTGGACAATCCTCGATCCAAATTAAGGCTGTTACTGGTATAGACTGCAGCCACATTAGGGTTAGGGTTTTTGCTTTTATTTTTTTGTTTTAGTCTTAAACGTTTGATCAGCTGTAAAAAAAAAAAAAAAAAAAAGCCTGTTTCAGTTCAAATGTTGTTTTTAATAAATTGCATGTTCAAAAAAATGTTTTGTCTCACTCCCGTTTCTTCTTGTTGCATGTTGAAGCTCTACTTGGAACCAGTCTGCACTTCTGTTAAATTCATGTATTTTTTAAATTTATTATCAATTCAGTTTTTTATATAATTGGCATAAACAGTCTTCTGTACAGAAGTCTTCAGCTGAGGCTCATCATTCCCTCATGTAGCCTCGGTCCGCCCCTGCTGACAGAGAAGAAAACATCCACCCTCCTCTTCCTCAGCTGCAGCTTCATCCTCCAGCTGCCGTGATGTCTGCTGGCTGCTCGGACCTCCTCCTCCTGTGAATCAGACACCATCATGAAGCGTCTCTCCATCCTCTGAGCGCGTATCTGCCTCACCTGCGGACTTCGGGACACTTGGATCACCTGCAGGTTTTGTCGGCCTCGTCCATCCTTCATCATCCTCCTCTTCATCAGCAGACATGTTGTTTAGGCAGGATCCGTGACGCCGCGCTGACTGCTGATGGATGGAAGGAGCCGGAGGAGCGGCTAGAATGACGCTCGGCACGTAAGATGGAGGCTTTTGTTTCCTTATCTTGTTGTTTAATCCGTATTTATTCAGAACATGGCCTGAGCCTGTGCTCGTTATTCAGAGGACATGACGTGCTGCACGCGGCGGACAGCTGCAGCAGGTGTGCCTGCTCGGTGTTTTTCCATGAGCGGTCAGGCTGGACTCTCAGCTGCTCAGCTCATCAAACTGTGCTGGTGTGAGCGGTGAGCAGGTAGACATGATGGGCTTCAGGCCGGAATCAGTCACAGCGGGGTTTACAGCACCATCATCAGCCTCCTCTGAGACACATTCGTATTTTAATGGAGGAGGTAATCATTTCAGTTAGAGAGCCTTCATCGAACTGTCCACAAACATTTGGCCATGTACAGCAGATCAGCATCTGCACAGATCTGTTTTAATCAGGACTTTGATGTAAAAAAAAAACAAAAAAAAAAAACCCCAAACAAAACAAAAACAAACAAAACATAGCTGCTCATTTATTTCCATGCATCGATTAATCGATCACTTCTTTTTTGACTCCAATGTTCAGGGCAAACAGACACCTAACCGGCTGATTATCAGTTATTGGATAAAAACGTTACTGATTTTTTTAAAATTACATTATGTATGAAAAGCAAATAAAGTAAATTAAATCTGGAGTTTTGTAATTCTCTAATAAACTCATGTAAATCAACATATCAGATTTTAGTTGCTGAACATTTTGAACAAAAACTGAGAAAGTTTCTGGCAGTGTGAGAGCATGATGATGAACATTTGTAATTTTATGACATTATAACAATAATTAATTAGTCATTCAGTAAAAAGTGCTTTGTGTTCATTATTAATTATTAGTATCCTGGTTATGGATGAAGTAAACTGTTCGCTTCGAGTCCTTTGTGTTTATATCAGAGTGGAATTAATCCAGATCAATCATTTAAATGTACATTTACATTTACACTTTTTGTTTTCAAATGTCTGCATGTGTTGTTTATAATATGAAAGATTTACAGCAGGGTTAAATTACAGCTGGAGACTTATTTAAGTAATTATTAAAGGTAACCTTATTCTGTTCATTTCCAGCTTCATACTCTTATTCCTGGACTCTTCTAGAGTAGCTTTGCATGATTGAGAGTTAAAAATAATATCTTTAGGAATATTTAGTGTGTGATGGTTAATAAGGAAAAGCACAGGTCTGCATTAATTATCAGTTACACCTTATACTAAATCATTTGGGGCGTGAAATGTCAGAAAGCTAAACACACCAAAAACCTAAATAATTCAGAGTGATTTATGTTTACTCTCTTTTGGTGACGCTTTAGTTTAAACTGCGTTGTCCTGCTTCCCTCGTTTACCTACCCACCATCAGTCAAGATGGATGTGGTTGCTAAGGTTAAATCCAGAAGAGTAAACACAACGGCAGCCATAAACAGAATCTCCTCTGAGAGCTTCTTCACATCCTTAAAGAGCGACCTCAGAGGAGAGCCGGCTCTCTATGGAGGATTAATCAAATCAGCTGCAGCACTAACTGGGAATTAAGTTCTGAGGTGGAGATGAGGACGGTGATGATGAATAGTTCCATGTGGTGGAGTTTGTCTTGTACCTGAGAGGAAAACATGCAGCTGTGTTTCCATAAAACAGTCCTGAGCACTGCTGCCTCTGACATTTCCTGGATTTTAAGAAAACATAAACAGCTTCCTCACTTTTTTAATATCTGGAGATTCTACATTTCCCCAGACGTGACTTCTGAAGTAGAACTACGGCTTCATTAACGCTCCTGTCCATGATTTCAAGTCCCAAGTAGAATTCCTACTGAGCAAAGATCACCCTCTGTAAATGTTTTAATTAGAACTCAGAGATGAGCATGGCTGTGACATGAACAAACCATAATCACTTACTGTGTATGCTACCATTGTATATAGTGTATTATCTTACGTATCTTTTTATTTGTTTGTATTTTATTTGTATTTTTTGTATTTTCCTTCTGACCTAAGTTGAGGTAACGCAAAAATTTCCTCGTTGTGGGATCAATAGTCTTATCTTATCTTATCTTATCTGATCCGATCTTATCTTATCTTATCTTATCTTATCTTATCTTATCTTATCTTATCAGTATGACTCTCAGCTAACTTACTTACTGCTAACTGTCTGATATCCAAACAACAAACCAAACTTTCAAACTTCCTACCAACTTACCAACCGACCATATCCTTCACTCTTTATCTCAATGCCAATCTACAAACAAGCTTCTGGAGCTGTGTATCAATGACGCTAATTCTGACTAACCCTGCAATCTATTTAAGCTCCCTGTGCAACATCAACAAACTCTTATTAATGACTTCTTTGGCCTTTAACTGAACTACATTCAGAGTTTGAATGCAATGAAACTGCTAGTGTAGCTAAATTAAAGCTAGCTGGCTATCCACCCCTGCATCCTGGTAGTGCTCCAGAAAACAGTAATAAACATTTCATTGGTGAAGTAATTTGGTACTGAGATTGTATGTTACTAGCAATAATATTACAAGGTTATTTTGTCACATTAGTTGATGATGCTAAGTTAGCAACCCAACTGTGGCATTTGGGTAGTACGGCTGACCTTATCTATTCAGGACACATCGATAGCTAGTAATCTATCAACATTAGCATGCAAGTTAGCATTAACTAATATTAGGCACAGTCGATTTTGATTTTCAAATCTAAACGAAGAATGACTAGCCTGTCACTAATTTTCACCTGATGTTGGCTACAACATTGAGACAGGTGGGCCTCATGAGATAAAGCAGTTTCTATCTTTTGTTAGCACACCTGCCAACCTACCACTCAGCCAACTATTAATCAATCAATTTTCCTAACCACTTGACTTGCCAATCTAATAACCTATGGTGCTTTCACAAACCAGCTATTCTACCCAATGACCTCATCTACCTACCAGAATACCAATCTACGTACCTGTCAACTAACTTGACTATCTGTTCACACACCAACGACCCATTCTCCTAACTACCTACCTTTGTATCTATCAAAAAAGTTGCCATTAACCTACGTATCTCGCCAATAAAACAAATCTCATTACTTCTTGAGCCTCACACCTTTCTGAAAGATGACCAGCAGTAGTCTATCTAACCACCAAACAACCAACAAACCTTTTTATTTTGCATGTCTGAACTATTTATTGTTGAGTAATAACTTGGTGTAGGGATTGTGAGGAGCTGTCGATTGTATCTGGTAATCAGGAGTATTGTTGGGATAAATAAACAGTTTATGTTGAAAAATATTTCCCAAACATTAATTTGGTTGTGGTTTTTCTAATGCCAAATGTCTGTGTCTCCACAGCTGCTCTCTGACCCAGCAGTACAGCAATGGTGTATGCCCAGACATCAAACACAGTCGGTGTCAATCCCTCCATCTACTTGCCATCGTTCATGTATCAGATGTCATTTAACTACTCCAAGAGAGAAAACTCAACTGTCCTGGCAACCTTACCTACAACTCCCCTCTGCAGCCTCGAGGGCACGTCCACTGGCCAGTTGAATACTACCTCTGTCCCTGATGAGCTGACTTCAGGTGAGGTTGCCGTCCTAGGCTTGGTATTTGGGGTTCTATGGCTGGTCTCCATCTTGGGAAATGCCCTCGTATGCCTGGTCATCCACCGAAGCCGACGGACTCAGTCCACAACCAACTACTTTGTGGTGTCTATGGCCTGCGCGGACCTGCTCATGAGCCTCGGTTGTGCCCCATTCGTCCTCTTGCAGGTTGCCTCTGGACGTTGGCCAATGAGCACAGCAGCTTGCAAGGCTGTGCGCTATCTACAGCACCTTTGTCCAGGTGTGCAGGTCTACGTCCTGCTTTCGATCTCAATAGACCGCTTCTACACAATCGTCTATCCCCTCAGCTTCAAAGTGTCCAGAGAAAAGGCAAAGAAGATGATTCTGGCTTCGTGGTTATTTGATGCAGCCTTTGTCTCCCCCTGCCTCTTCTTCTATGGATCTACATCTACAGACAGTCATTGTGACTTTTTCCTTCCTGAGAGCTGGGGCAGCATAGTCTACGCAGCAGTTCACCTTCTCATTGGTTTTCTGGTCCCTGCTGGATTGATCATATCATTCTACCAGAGGGTGGTCAGGTACATCTGGAGGATCAGTGCTGATGGCCACACTGTGCGGCGGACAATGAACATTGTCCCGCGGACTAAAGTCAAGACCATCAAAATGTTCCTTATGCTTAATTCTGTTTTCTTCCTCACCTGGACACCCTTCTATCTTGCCCAACTGTGGCACCCGAGGGAGTCTGATGGGCCCAGCAGGCAGGGACTGCTTTTCTTCACAGCCATCTCCTGGATCTCCTTCAGCTCCACAGCATCCAAACCCACCCTGTATTCTGTCTACAATGCAAACTTCAGACGTGGCATGCGGGAGACATTCTGCATGTCATCCATGAAATGCTACCGCAGTAATGCCTACACCATCACCGCGAGCTCCCGCATGGCCAAAAAGAATTATGTTGGGGTGGTGGACATCCCAGTGCAAGCAAAGATGGTGACTAAAGACTCGGTCTACGATACATTTGACCGAGAAGCTAAAGAAAAGAAGGTAGCTTGGCCCACTAATGCGAACCCTCCAAATACCTTTGTGTGAATGAGCTTGGACAGCTTTAAAACTGAACTCACAAACATAAACTTGTCTAACATAGCAGTGCCAGTGGTGGCAGGTGAATTAGCTGGAGGCTAACATGCTAGCACTGTATTTAAGTAAAACGTTTACCGAATGTGTTCAGATTGTATAAAGGGCTTTTTGTGATGTGAGAAACCCTATAGCAGCCATATTGGTGATTTTTATACTTCAGATTTCAATCAGAATTTGTTTTCGTGCTGTGTTTTGATGGATCATTTTCCATGGATAAATTCCATTTTGTGTTTTGATGTCAACTTGTTAGCTAGCTAACTTTCTGTGTGGTCATCGATCATAAAAGTCTTGTAACTGCATCTGGTTTGCTACAGTAATGTACGTGGTAGATGCTAATGTTAGTAAAGGCTAAAATGTTAACAATGACATTATCTGCTTTGTCACAATGACTGAGTAACGGTGAGCTGGTTATATACCAAAGCCCGGGATCCAAGCTTGTTCAAATAAACTGGGCTGAATCATTGGAATACAATCAGGATCAATTATGACTTTAACAACCATGTCAGCAAGACCCATTCAGGTTCAAACTTAGCTGAGTGGTCATAGCTAAACATGACAACATGCAGACACTGTTTGATTAGGTTCACTTTCAGAATGGTGCTTAGTTCTTAAAAAGCATCAAGGCAGAACTCGTTTGGTGTGGATTGGTAGCTTAAATCTTAAAGTGCGACTGCAGAGGGACTTAAGTCCTGTAATTTCTGATTGAGATGGGTTCCTCAACATCATCCTCAGCACTGCTGTGTGGAAACGCTCGACAAGGATAGAACCTGAATATTTGTCCTCCTTCCAGTGTGCTGAAATATCCAGACTTGAGATCAAATGGATGTTTGTAGCTGTGATCAGTTCTCATGAAGTTTGATCAGTGTGATTAAAGATGATTTGTTATATGAAGGAAATTTATGAGTTTTTGTGGGAATATCCAGGAAAATGTTCCAGAAGACAAAAGACAGAGAAACAGAAGCAAGCTTTTAGAGAGTGAAATTTAATGAAGTCAGTAAAGTCATTGCTGCTCATTCACCTCTTTCTGTTTTTAAGGCATTAGTAAATCTGAGACTTGTGCACGCTAAAGTGTGGATATCTGAAGTCTGCATATACATTACAGATCAGGGGTGAGCTGCAACATTGCTGCAAGGTTACGAGCATTAGTTGGTCCTAACATTAGGTCAGTGCACCACATAATCCACTGCGTCATCGTGTATTTGACTAAAGCTCAAAAACACTGAGAAACTCTAGGATTTGGTTGGATCTCTTTCAGCAGCAGTGACCTGCAGTGATCTACAGGTGTCGCTCACCTGTGTTACAGCAGCAGCTTGATAGAGGTGCTCTTGTTTGCTTATGGTCAGATAATCAAGTCCATTGATTAACTGATATGGATGCAGTAACAACGCACTGAGGTTTTCACACAGTGCCTCTGCAGACTGCTCAGTGTGTAATAAATGATGACACAATGGGAAACATCACATGCTTCTCTTAGTCTCAGGTTATGTTTACCTGATTCTGTGACTTGCTGAGCCTCACCTGAGTTTTTATTGTGTGGACCTTGTTTTTCATAGAAGGTAAATGTGTGTACCAACTTGCACTTTAAATGTTCCACAGTCCCTGCAGAATGAACACGGTGGCTCCGTCTGTGCAGTTGCTGCACTAACATCAGTGCAATCAGATCCCATAGTCTTGAGACTGTGTTTCATCCAAAGTCCCTCTCTTCCTTCCTGCAGACAGTCACAGAACTTCCTGCGAGTTTGCATTAATCTGCACATTGTTTACGGGACACTCATTACCTGCTGTAAGTACAAATGTTTGGGATCCATGCATGAATCTTAACTATCCCGTCCTCAGATTCATGCATGAACAGAAGATACTCTGAGCTTCACTGAGGATCAAACAGTTTATTTATTTATTTGCTCTTAGACATTTTAAACACACATTTTCTACAATCTTAAAACAAAGTGCTTCAGCTATGTTTACAAAGGTGCACAAAAAAAAAAGCTTACAAGCTGTTCAGAAACAAGATTTCAGATTTTAGTGCGTGAAAAGAAGCCGCGGGCGCCGACCTGCTCGCTGCTGGTTTAGTCAGTCCTTCAGCTCACAGATGTTATCAGGATCAAACCAGAGGAAAGCCCGGCTTGACCCGATGACCAGACAACAATAACACAATAGCTGTCCAACAGCTGCACACACACACACACATGTCACTATAAGAGTTTAGAAACAGGAGTAAGTCATGTGACCTGCAAACCACCACAGAAAGACATTGATCCTCAGTTCAGAGCATGTATTTGTGTTCTCAAGTTTAACATCTTTATTCACTGGAATGGTGATTAAGCTTCAGCTCCACAAACAACTTTCTGCTGCTTCTGTGTGAAGATGTCGGATCTGACCTGCAGCCAGGAGCTTTTGTCCCCCCCTGCTGGCTGTGAGGGTTACTACATGCACTGTACGAGGAGGTGAACCTCCGTGCTGAGAACAGAGGGAGGTTTATTCTCTGGAGGTTTAAAGGTCTCATGAGTCCTGTGTGAGTGATGAAATGCAGGAGAGGAGCAGGAGAAGGAGGTGGAAAAGCGTCTAACTCTGCCCATTGCTGCTACTGATGTTGTTCTTGCTGTTCTTGGACGTCTTGTTGCCACCGCTTGGAGGCATTTTCTGCTCGTCTCCGGTGAGCAGAGCTTTAATCTCTGATGGAATCTTGCCCTGATCCATGGCCGAACACCACTGCTTGTACTGCAGGAGGACGACAGGAGACAAGTGAACAGCAAGTTAACAGTCTATATACGATGAATATATATGACGAGCATTTGACCTGACCTTCATCGTGTTCTCATAACCACTGGAAACTAAAAGCACAGCTGAAGTTAAACTCCTGACTCATCGCCCAGAGAGCTGCAGTTGTACCTGTCCAGGTGACTGCGGTCGTGTTTTTACTCTCAACAGAAACTGGGTGAAGTAATGTTAATTGTGACATGGGGTGGCTGTAGCTCAGGTGGCAGAGCAGGTCAGCCACTAATCAGAAGGTCGGTGGTTCGATCCCAGGCTGCATCCTGGCTGCATGGCAAATATCCTTGGGCAAGATACTAACCCCATGTTTGCCTACTGGTGGTGGTCAGAGGGCCCGGTGGCGCCTGTGTCCGGCAGCCTCGCCTCTGTCAGTGCTACAATGTAGCTTGCTATCGCCAGTGTGTGAATGGGTGAATGACTGAATGTAGTGTAAAGCGCTTTGGGGTCCTATGGACTAGAAAAGCACTATACAAATGCAGGCCATTTACCATTTACATTTGTGTGCGCCCCATTTTCAAACTTTATTTAAATACCAGGAAACGGAGCGCAGAGAGACTTGTGTGTTTAAACTGGGAGTGTCTGACCTCTGTGGTCGGTGTTATGAAGCTTCTCTTTGGCACAGAGCTCAATCATGTGTTTGAAATCTGAGTTCATGTCTAACTGGTGTCTCACCATCTCAAGCTCCTCCCGCAGGGCGCAGATGGCTCTCTCCTTACTGGAAACCAACTCCTCCAGGTACTGGTACCTTAGCTTCTTCCGGGCTCGGCACTCGCGGGCGCTCTGCCGGCTTCGCTCCAGTTTGGCCTTCAGGTCGATTTTGGCAGGTTTACGGCCGCGTTTTCCCGGCTTCTTCACTTTGCCCGCCATCTGATGACAAGCAGACACGAGCGATAAATTAGACACAGGACAGAGACACCACCAGCAGACACCACCAGGTCTGTTAATGTGCTTTGAGCAGAGAGGTGATACCTGTTATTTCTGACTGGATTGGTTGAGCCAGCTCACACACAGAACGCCTGGATGTGCTAAAGTTCATTTACAGTGAAAGCTCTCAAATTAGCTTCCAGACTAGACCTGAATGAGCAGAGTTGGCAAAAGTACACACATTCTCTACAATACTACTGTTAAAAAAATACTCCAGTAAAAGTTGAATTTTTATTCAAGTAAAAGTTTTAAAAAAGTACCAGCTCTGAAATGTACTCAGAGAAAGAAAAAGTAGCTCCTCAAAGAACATTTCCTCCACCTATTTTTATGCAGCATTGACATAACAATATTAGTCGATATGAATACAAACTTTATTTCAGTCTAAATTTTATTTCCAATAATTGTACTCAGCTTGAATCGGTTAAGTAGAACATGAGCAGGAAGGAAAATAAAAACTCTTTTCTGGTGCCTGCATTGTAGAGGGTGACTTTACTTTTAAACAACAAAATGAATGCAGTCAGGGGCTAGAGTGGATTCAGCAGGTGGGTGAACACTAAAATCAGTTTTAATTGCTCAGTGTTGGGGAAAAAATATCATAACTCACTATAATTTCTACTGAGAGCTCCAGTAAATTTTCTTAGTGTACAGGTTGTGATCAGCTGACCTGCTGCTCTTTGTGGATTTACACACCTGAATTCAACCAGATGTGAGCAGATGTTTCATGAGTTGTCCTGGCTGATTTCCATACACTGACAGTACACTGTTTATGCTGTCTTTATATTAGACACTATAAAGTTGGTATGAAGGTGGAATTCAGTGAATGAGTCTCAGCATCATAAGCTAATATTCAAATGAATCTCTGCTACACTTCATGTAAAGTAAATCTGACCATGGAACCACAGCCACTGTGCACCAGTCACATACTGTTCTTTACTTTAAATCCATCACAGTACAGCAAACTAAGCTGTTTATCCTGCACTAACCTGCAGATGATTTTCATGCAGGCCTTAAATAACACAGTTAAGTCTACCTCAGTTTGTTTAGCATGTTTCACAATATGAAAAAACACAGTTGCACATGTACAGACCCAATATCTGATTGGATAACATACTTGATGAGGACTTACGAGTAAGCTTTAAATGAGCCGTCCTTTTAAATCTAAGCTCTCTTCTTCGTTTCCTGTCCTTTCTTATCTTTCTCCATCTCTGAGTGTAGTTAGCCCTCTTTCTTTTCTCTCCCTGTGAAATACAGAAGCTGGACCTTTAGCTAGCAACTGTGTGACAAACTGCACACAAACAGTTTGTGTGTTTGCTGATGTTTGTTAAAGTGCTGCATTTCAAATTACCTAACACAAAATGTTACTCCCTTTATCCTCGCTCCTCTTCAGTAGCTAGCTAGATGCTGAAGTACTGTGAACACAACCTATGGACACCTGCAGTCGTTCTAGTGTTGTGTTAAAAAATAAAAATTTAAAAACGTAATAAATTAATAAATAAATAAAAACTCCGGCCCGCTGTAACCTCTGACTACATCTCTTTTTATGCCACATCGCCTGGTGATTAATAAACGAATGGGATTTCCTTTTATGTGTTTCTGTTTAGGCTCAGATTGGTTTTAAGTTTGGAGGCTCGCAGTGACTGAAATAATGACTCCCCTCAAATCAGTTAAAGGAAAAGTAACGAGCCTGTCTGAAACAGTGACGAGTAGAAAGTTAAGATATTTGTTTAAACATGCAGGGAGTAAAAGTTAAAAACTAGTCAGAAAAAAAAACCTACTCAAGTAAACTACAGATACAGTAACAAAGTATTTCGTTACTGTATCATCCAACAAGTGCGACTGACTTCTACTCACCAATCAGAACACTGGAAAACAGCGTCAGCAGTCCTGTAGTCCCTCAGACCTCGGTGTGAGGACAGCAGGAAGGTTTTTTTTAATAATATCTAACAGCTGATGAATATCAGCATTAAATAAATAAACTTCTTGTGAGCTGCAGACAGTTTACAGCAGGTTTGTTGTTCTATAAATAATGATTTCTTATCCTTCCTGAAATAAACATGTTTACGGCACGGGGAGCTAACGTAACCTCGGTTAGCACACAGGATACACAGCTGTAATCTAGCCCATTAAAGTGATTCCTTCTTTAACCTCCTAAGACCCGAACTCTTCCACTGCATGCATTTTTAATTTCTCTTTGATATTTGGGTATATTGGGGCCCGATGAATGTAAAAACAATTTTTGTTTTTAAGAAAAATGAGAGCCATATATGAGCATAGTCGTTTAAAATTTTGATAGACCAGTAGCAGTATAATGTCCTTGTAAGTGGATATCAGGCCCTTGTAGAGCAAAATTCAGTATTTTGGTCTAAATAACCCAAAATGTGATGTCCACATATGTGGACGGCAGGTCATAGGAGGTTAACGACACTATCGACACTCACAAAGGTGAAGTGACCAGACGTTGACTAGTTAAAGCTACTAATTAGTACCCCGCAGTTTCCTTTAGCCGTTAGCAGTCCTTAGCTAGCTCACCTTGTTGTCGTCCATGTTGCTAACGCGCAGGCTGCCGTTAGGTCCGCTCAGAGATCACACTGTGTTCCCGGAAGTCTGGACGGAACGAACCGGCTCGGTATCATCAGCGAGGGCTCCAGAAGCAGCTCATCAATCAGTCTGATCACCGATCAGTCTGACAGCTCCCTGCTTTGTTTACATCTGCTGACGTCTACGCGTTTACGTCACTTTTTTTTTTACAACCAAAACTTTATTAAATAAAATAATGGAACAAAGACAGCTACCACTAAACCGGAAATAGTGAGATGGTAAAATAAATAAATAACGTCAAACCCGAGTAAATAGTCAGATAAAAATGAATTCTATTCTTAACAAGTATATTAAAATATATCTGACACACTCAAACGTTTAATGTTCAGAAGCCAAATATTAACAATTCGAAAATCTGTAAGTTAGCAGTAACAAATTATATTTATATGTAATAAATAAGCTCCAGCTTTAGTTTAATATATTGAATGTATTTATACCATTTTATATGTTTAATGTGCATAAACAGTATATCTACTTAAACCCTAGTGTAATCAAATAAGTTACCACGCCTTGTGATATCGCCTTTAAAAAGCTTGTTCATTTTAACTCTGGTGAAGAAATGAATTGTTGTGATATCGTCTTCATGATTTGCAGTAGAGCACAGAGCAGGTCTTGAAAAGTGCGTTCTCTAACTACACGATAAAACTCTGGGTTTCCCAAAATGAGGGAACAATAAAACTTACAATAAAACCTGTTCCCTTTTCCTTTCCCAACCCTCCTCTGACCAGAAATTCTCACTTTTCACAATGACGGTCTGAATTTGGACGCTCAGTTAAAGTTTCAGTCTGAGATCACGCCATGTGAATGGGTGAAGTTGTTTTTTAGAATCTCATAATTTGGATCTTAAAAGTAAAACGCTTTAATGTCTCTCTGATGAGTTTTGCCTCTAAAATTTAAAAAGTCTCCTCAGTAAATTAAATATCAAACTTTAGAATCTGAGGCTGAAAGTTCACAGTTAAGAGGTGAAAGTTCACACTATTTACCCAAATGCTTTAAGAAGTTGATACTACAGATATATTTTTCAACCTTTGATGTTTTAAATAAAGTTTTTCACCTGCATTCTGCCGTCATCTGGTGTAAAGAAAACAGAATAATATGAAGAAGGTTTGTAAGGGTCGCTGTTGTCACAGAGAACAGGACAGAAACTGATGAAGAGTCTGAGCTCATCTTTACTGCTCAGTCTTCAGTATACACCAATTCACTGTTGGATATAAATGCACATATATTTTATTATTTTACTTAAAGTCTTTAAAGAGCCATAACTTATAACCATAACCACCTCTCCTCTTCCACAATCATCTCATCATCACATTCAGAGGGTTAGAATTCATTCATTCATTCAATTATTTATATTAAGAAAACACATCCTGCTGTCCCTGAGAGTGGATTCTATGATGACATCTCCTCACAGGCCAAAGGGTCAAATGTATGTTAATCTACCCATGACCTGCTGACTAATCCTGTTACATCAGCTGCTGGAAATTTAGAGGAAATGAAGATTATGTTGTGGAAGAAGGTTATACAAATATCAGAGCTTCTGTTCTGAGTTTACTTCCTCAGGAAGCTTTAGTGGGATTAGCACAAAGAGACATGGAGAGCAATCATGGTGGATCCTGCTGAGACTGTTCAGGTGAAGTATGAAGTCATCAGGCTACTGTTACACACACTTTGTTCATTCCTCTGATGTCACTGACAGTAGATGTTATTTTAAAGATCATGCCCAGTTCTGTCATGATACGTGTGAACACGTGTGAAGAGAGCCAGAGATTAATAACTTAACAATAACTAATGATTAAATGCAGAGAGGTGTATAAGCACATAGTGTGTGAAGAAGAAACACTCAGTGAATCATAGTGTAGCACCCAACCCATGTAGCTAGTATTCAAATTAGATCAAAGGGGTGTTGTAGCACTGAGTAGGGCCGTGGGTTCTTTAATTTAGTGGCTTGCCCTACTAACCTGTAATGCTGATGTACCAGATAACACTTCAGAAAGTGCAAACTGTCAGTAATGCCTGGGGTTGCTGTCGGTGAGGCAGCTCTCTATGCTCCTCCTGTAGGCCTCCTTGCCATGTTTGATGCCCCTGCTACGTTGGCTCATGCAGTGCTGTACAGGGAACTATCCCTGTTCTGATTAGAGCCTGTACTCCACTTGTCAACCAAGGTTTTCCATTAGGAACAACCCAGATGGTTTTAGTCACTGTCACAGTCTCTACGAAGCACTTAATGTAGAAAAGGACTGACTGATGATAAGCCAATATTGGAGAATTCTGCTCTCCCTTTCTAGTCCCTGTCAGTACTCTTGCTGCATTTTGTATTAACTGAAGGCTTTTCATCAAACTTTTAGGACATCCTGATAATAACGAATTACAGTAGTTCATCCTAGAAGTAATAAATGCATGAACTAGTTTTTTCAGCGTCACTCTGACACAGGATATTTCTAATTTTAGAGATATTTCAGAAATGGAAGACACAAAACAAGACACAAGAAGACACAGGCTTACATATTTGTTTAATTAGTGCATTAAAGGACATATCCTGGTCAAAAATGATTCCAAGATTCAAATGTCCAGCTGGGATAACCACATTTACTCAGAGCCTTCTTGATATGTTCTTCTGCTTCCCTGGGCCCTGTGTCTGTAGGGATGCTGTTCACTCTGTGTTGTAGTGTCCTAATGACACCCAGTTTGTGCTCCAGTGGATAATGAGAGTCAAACCTTAAATACTGATCTGATTTACGGTATACATCGACTTTTAAATGTCCCCCATTATTGATGGAAATCTCACAGTCTAAGAAGGCTAACCTGCTACTTTTCATATTCTCCCCAGTGAATTTGATGTCTTGGTCCATTGAGTTAATGTGACCACTGAATTGTGGTATGTCCTGAGATTTAATTTTCACCCAGGTTTCAGCCACATACCTGAACTAATGACTTGGGGGTGTTCCAGGGTAGCATAACAGAGCCATCTTTTCCACTTCTTCCATGCACAAGTTGGCCACAATGGGTGAAACTGAGGAACCTCAGTTAGCACTGGAACCCCAGGTAGTACTGACCCTTGTATGTGAAATAGGTGGAATGAAGACAGTTCCAAAAGCAAACACACTTGGTCTATGCTGAAGAGTGGTCCTGTTGCTGAGGTTGGGGTCATCCTGTAATCTCTTACGAACTACCTTCAATGCTTCCGTGACTGGGATGCAAGTGAAGAGAGATGTAACATCGTACGAGACCATGGTTTCATCTGCCTCCATAATGACGTCTCTCACCTTCTCAACAAAATCTAAGGTGTTCTGGATGTGGTGTTCAGAGCTGCCTACCAACAGGTTGAGCATCAAAGCCAGAAACTTTGAGATGTTATAGGTGATCGAGTTGATCATACAGACAAGTGATCTTAAAGGTACACCCCTAGAAATAGCCTGTGGTATGCGGTCCGGTCAGTAGCGTTATCTTGTTCTACCTGCTCCAGAAAATCTATCACCCTGTTCCTGTAGTCACTTCCTGGGTCTTGTTTCTGGGCTCATGAGTATTTTTGTCACTGAACAAATTTTCTCATGATAGTCTATATGGTTTAGCAAAACTGTGCACCTACCCTTGTCTGGCAGAAGGATGATAATGTTGTCATTACTAACTGATGTAAGTGCCTTCCTCCTTCATGCTGATGTTGGATGCTGGGGGCTTTGCATTGCTGAGACATGCAGAAACTTTCGTCCGCAGCTGCTCTGCTTCTATGTCTGCAATGTTGTTGTTTCAAATTTCTCTTTCTGTGGCTGTGATCAGTTCAACTAGTGGGATTTGCTTCGAGAAGCTGGTCAGGGACTTCGTTTGCTCT